ATCGAACCCGGGTCGCCAGGTTCATAGCGCAGCACGCTAACCGCTACACTACCGCTCCCCACACAGACACACACGTGCACACACAGACACACACACATACATATACGTACATTAAATTGCCGACGCCACGACTTCGTCTCAACACACGGCGTTCGCAATATTCATGGCAGAGGTGAAAGCGTCGCGCGGGTTTTACGCGTTTGTAATGATCCCCACTTGCAGTGTGGAAGCCGCGCGGGTGATGACCACGGCGCCGAGGGCACTCGCAGAGGGATCTGTGCCCGGAATCGACGAGGCGACTGCCTCAGAACCCACGCGTGGGCCGTGTCTGAGTGAACCCGGCCGGCGGATGCTCTGGTCGCGCTTTCTCTCGGCTTCAACGTCGTACTCAGCGGGGAGGCGAATCACTCGGTCCACCGATGGTGAAGATCGTGCGTCCGTCAAAGTGTTTAGAGCGACTCTTTGGTTTCTTTCGGTGAAGTCAGGTAGAAAGAAAATAAATTAAATAATAGAATACCACGTTTCGAATGCAACACAAGCAATCGTCATTAGGTATAAATAAATTTGAGAGAGAGAGACAAAACACAGACACGGAGACACATAGACAGACACACGAGCAGTTTAGTTCTACCTGATGACGACTGCTTGTGTTGCAATCGCAACGTCGTATTCTATTTAATTTATTTTTTCTTTCTACGTGACTTTACCGAAAGAACCAAAGAGTGATTCCTGCAGTCACGAAAGCTTCAAATCAAGTTTGTTTAGAGCGAGTCGTGGAGCGACGTGGAACTCTAGGCCGACCCTGTCCCATGAATCCCAGGAGTAAAACCAAATCAATCTCATGCAAGTTCTGTGTCCTCAAATTTTGACACGGTTTACGTTTTATTTTCGGATTTCTCTACTTCAGTTATAGTTCAGTTGACGAGCATTCGCGCCGCCAAACTTCGTTCTTTCTTAGCCCGTCCACAACGTGATTAGAGTTTGCATCAGTCACGAAACGTCTATAGCGCTACATGTATACGCCGCGCACTTTATGTACACGATTGTCGTGTAACAATCTCACATTTCCTACCCTTCCAGAAGACCCGTTAGACTTTGCATCAATCACCATCGTCTCATTCGAGACGATAGATAGAAGTGGGAGGGGGGTTATAGTTCATATGCGACGCAAAACACCCATTCATCCCATGCTCACAATAATAAAATAAAAATAATCGATGCCTCGAGTTTCCTGGCTGGTTGCTGGCTGGGCTCCTTTCCACTCCCAACACTAACTCTGTTGTTCGTGGCTGCGGCACATTGCCACCGAAACTAGCTGGGTAACTGGCTACACGATATTTTCCAGGTAACAAATAAACATCGAATTGAAACGGCAGACGGACGTAATAATGAAAAAAACAACAACAATACATAACGACACCGACGAGGCGAGAGTAACGAATGCAGAAGACTGACGACACGGTGAATTTAAAACGACGCTTAGATTTCAATGCGGCATATTGTTACATATTTCAAACAACCTGTGTATTACTCTTAGCGTTCCCAGTACAGGCATGTGTGAGAAGAATTATGAAAATTACAGCCGCCTCTTATTTTCCTTTGGCAATCCCACTGCTTGGCGGACCGATGGCCACTCATCCCCACGGCGTGTTGGTCAAGTATGGTGAAACCCAGCCTCCACGAGCAGCGTAAAGGCGACACGCTGACACGTGTCCCGTAAATGTGTAATCCGTTCTTAAATAGCGCAATCGAAGTTTAAGTTCATTTGCATCCGTTACACGGAAGGCCCCATTAAAGCCGTTTGCACGGCAATTTCACACGGCGGTGGGGGGGGGGGGGGGGAGAGATCCCTGGTGCCGCGCGAGCGCAACAACAAAAACCGAAGATAGAACGTCGACATTGGAGAGAACGAGTACAGATACGTGCAAGTAAGCTCTGCAATTATAACTCGACGACAGTTTTCACCGCGTGGCTCAAATGTTGGCGAAAGTCTTTGCCCCCATCCCCTCCTCCGCAACCCCCCGCCAAAAAAATAAATACAAATAAAATAAAGAAAAATAATCATCTGGAGGGATCTTCATCGCCAGCACGTGGCAGAAGAGGAAGCGTTCGCAACAATCCCACGAGGCGTGACGATCACGTGGGGGGGGGGGGGGAACAAGCTCGGGGTCAATTAATTGGGGGTCACGAGACATCTGGACCAGCGTGTACACCTCGCATTTGAATATTCCGTGATGTTTGTGTCGGCGTGCGCTCGTGTGTCGTTTTGTGTTCGAATACTTCCCCCAGCGTTCACGAGTATCGTGTCGTGGGGGGTTGGCTGTCACACAACGCAAGGTGGCCGTCTCTCTAAAATCTAAATAAACGTCGAAATGTCGACACTCATAGAAATCCCATGAGCCATAATTGTAAATAAATACCGGCTCCTGTCTCCCCTCTACAGCACGTAGATATCCCTTCCTGTACCGCATATAGCTTACCTACAAAAGGTAGATATTTGTGAATATATTCATACGTGGCAGACCAAACACATGCCGTTCTGCATGTGACAATGTGACAATGTGGCGACGTCGTGGAGAACATTTTACACGGCACCGGAGTGAAATTAGCACACCACCCCACACCGAATTAATTATCGAACAGGGAACTAGACCGAGGCGACACCACACCTCCGCACGTCATATCTGCTCCGTGGTTCCCCCCTGCCTCTCGAATTCCGATTAAAATCCTCCGCTCCGAGTTCCGTGAATGCGGCCGTCGAGTAGACAGAATCGAGCCGTCGAACGTCCGCCGTCTCTTCGCGTCGCGGATTCAAAACGCGCGGCGCTGAGACTGCGAGTGAGCGAGTAAGTGCGCATTCCCCACCCCCACCACCCCCGCCTTCCTCTTCCCCTCTCCTCCCAGCGGAGTTTTTAACGCATTTGCCTAAGCCATGTGACATCAAAAATGCGCAGGTTCTCACGAGCGCGCATCTCGCACGCGCACGTGATTTCGCAGCGATTAGCCGCGTGCCGCTGTGCCAGATGTTTCTGCTCGCATCTGCGGGGTGGCAGTGGTCGCAGGAAGAAGGTGGTTTGCGGTGGTGGTGATAATCTGACAGCCTACCCACCACGCGAACGGGAAATTGTACGCTGTCTGTTGACAACAACAACAACAACAAATGCACTTTAACTGTGCGAGCTTTAGTTAATTAAAGGGAGAGAGAGATGTGCGGTTTAAAAAAAAAATACCATCACGGCGACGAAGATTACACTGTTGGGTTTAAATAGACACGACGGTTGATTGTGGTGGTGGTGGTGATGAAGATTGAATTATGAATCGATGATGATTGGGAAGCGGACACGCTGACAAATAGCGAGATGAAATTGTCTCTCTGCCGCTCACGGTAAGTGTGCATGTTACCACGGCTGTAGATGCGATATAAAAGAAGAGTGCTCCCGAAGCCGCTTTGGGTCGCCCGCGCTAATTAACGTGGCTCTGATGTCTCCGCTTCGCATAATAGAACAAGAGCCCTTTAACAAACGCCGAGTTTACCTTGAGTGGCAATTCATTTCAACCGGCGCGCAAACGCACGCACGCGTACACGCGCACAAACGCGGTCGTGTTTATTATCACGTCGTAATTCAAACCGAGCCCCGACAATCTGCACCATGAACAATTACTTTCTTTGTCACGGTCATTGTCTAGTAACCCCGTACTCCCCCACCCCCTCCACTGCCTTCCGTGCCGTCGACCTCTTGCTATCGCCTGCTCAAGTCTAGGCTCGCGAAATTCTTCGTTTAACCTCCGTCTATGACTGGACGGCCGCTCTCCTTTTCGATACAAAAACAAATGCGCACAACTCTTCCCTGCGTCCTTTTGCGATGCACAAAACAAACGTGCATCTTGAGATATGCGGCAGCTTGAGATGCGGTGGAGACTTTAGACGGCAATATAAATCAAATGTATTGTAAATATCGAGTAACCGTATGGTGTGTGCGCGTATGTTTGTGTGTATGTGCATGTATGTATGTGTATGTATATGCTAAAAGTGGGGAACGGTAGTGCAATGGTTAGCGCGCTGCGCTACGAACCCGGCTATACGGGTTCGATTCCCGGTCACGGCCAACACCCAGTGGCGATTATCTGAACCGGCCCTGGGCCTCTCCTAGGTCGACTCACCCTCAAATGAGTACCTGGTGCGATGTGTAAATATCACCACTAGGAAGACAAAGGCGACTGGAAGCGGTGCTGGCCACCAATCCACCTCGTGTGCCGTGCTGGTTTTGTTTTGGCGCTCGCTAACAGCACTTGCCCCAACAGTCTGTTAATCCTGTACGGGGGATCTTTGTTTTTGTCTGTGCCGACGGGCATAAATTACACAAACACATACATGTACGTACAGTGATTCGTTCATACAAGCATCGTACTGTGCATTAGTACGGCCATAAGCGGCACATACTGGGAGGAGAAGTGCTGTGCCAGTGTTTAGCGATATCGCGTTCTCAACACGATCACCTGAGTTCCACTCCCGACCGCGGCTAGCATGGGTGGCAAGTTGTATCTCAGCTGATCCTCGGCAACCCCCCTCCCACCACCCTCGTTCACCAAGCCGCTCGAACCGGCGCGGTGAAGTATGGTCAAATAACCGACTGACACGGCTCGGATAAGTCTTCATCCAACGGCGGATGAACAAAAGTCAGTAAATTCGTATTATTGTCACATATAGGTGTACTGTACTTATTCCATTAACGCGCAGTAACCAACGTGGTGAAGTATGGTCAAACAAACCCCCTACGACCGACACGATTTGTGGATACCTTCATCCAACGGAGGCTTGACAAAGGTCTGACATTTAAAAATTATCGGCATCATCATCATCATCCGTGGTCAATCAATCCACTGTTAGATGAATGCCCTCCCCAAGCCGCTGTCGGTCACGGGAGTTGTCGGACACCACGGACGTGATGAACGCGGCTCTGTGCGCGTAACAATGATGATGAGCGTCACGCGGTTCTTACCGAAAGAAGTCTTCGCGGCAGTAGAGCTTGCCCTCCCTGGAGAAGCACTTGTCCGAGAGCGAGCAGCTGCACTCGCAGCACTGCACGCAGCCCGGGTGCCAGGGCCGGTCGAGCACCGTGAGCAGGAAGCGACCCAGGATGGGCCGCTCGCAACCCGCGCAGTAAACCATGACGCACGGGCTCGCAGGCGATGGGGTCACGAACGCACGCGGCCTCCTCCCACCTCCTCCCTCTCCACCCGTGCCGACTCTCCCCGCGTGTCGCTCTCTCTTCTCGTGCCGACTCTCCCTGCGTGTCGCGCGCTCTCTCTCTCTCTCTCCACCCGTGCCGACTCTCCCCTGCGTGTCGCTCTCTCTCCCCCGTGCCGAGAGAGAAAGACGCGACGAACGCGTCTCGTCTCTGATGTCTTTCGGAGGTTGAGAGAGAGAGAGAGAGAGACAGTCAGCGGCGGCAGCGGCAGCAAACTGCGGTGTCCTTTCGGGCTACGAATGCCGGAGGAAGCCTTCTCCAGCAATCTTCTTCATTGAGCTCGCCGACTCCCGAATAATTTGCTTTCAGATTAAAAAAAAAAACCGCGCGCCTTGCGGGGATGGATAGCAAGCAGCTCCTCGGGAGAGATCACGCGATGAGTGAATTTATTTTTTTAAAACGTGAACTAAGATGTTGCGCGTCTGCCTTGTCCTGCGTCCGGCCTGACCGGAGCTACCCTCTCCGTTGTGCGCTTTTTTTTTTTGGAGCCGTACGAAAGGAGGCCGCTGGGGTGTGCGTGCGTGCGGGTGGATGGGGGGGATCTTTGCTGGATGGAGGTGGCCGTGGGGAGTCCGGGGGGGGGGGTCTCCGCTGAGCAGGAACCCTGTGCGTCGCTGCTGCTGCTGATGGAGCTGCCTCCGCTGCTGCCTCATCAGACGCCCGCTCGCTCCATATCTTAGCGCCCTCCCGCGCGTCACTAGCCTCGCGGCCAATGGGAGGCAAACACTCGACTCGCAATTCTACATCATCACGGGCACGCGCGCGCGCGCAGACACAAAGGCAAAGATCCCCAGTTGTAGCCTCTAACAGACTGTTGGGGCAAGTGCTGTTAGCGAGCACCTATACGAAGGCCGGCACGGCACACGAGGGCGTGGGTAGCCAAGAGCACGCCCGGTGATGTTTACACACCGCGCCAGGTACCATACTCCGCCGCCTTTGTCTCCCCAGAGGTGATGTTTACACACCACAAAAAGGCACTACTTTGAGGCTGAGCCGACCTAGGGGAGGCCCATGACCGGTTCAGATAATCGTCACCGGTGTTGGCCATGAGTGGGAATCGAACTAGGGCGGCCGGGTTCGGAGCGCACCACGCTAACTGCCACACTAGAGTACCACACACATACACACACACAAGTACAAACACACAGACACACATACACAAGTACACACACATACACAGACAGACACACACACAAGTACAAACACACAGACACAAGTACACATACACACACAGACACACATACACAAGTACACACACATACACAGACAGACACACACACAAGTACAAACACACAGACACAAGTACACATACACACACAGACAGACACACATACACAAGTACACACACAGACACAAGTACACACACAGACAGACGTATACACAGACAGACACACATACACACACAGACACAAGTACTCACAGATGCACGTACACACACAGACACAAGTACACATCACACAGACACACAGATACACAAGTACACATACACACAGACAGAAGTACACACAGATGCACGTACACACACATACACAGACAGAGACACAAGAACACACACAGACACAACTACACACAGACGCACATACACACACACAGACACAAGTACACACACACAGACGCACACGTGCCGCTGGAAATGTGGACGTGAAACGGTGTGTCATTCATTGTGACGATCATGATGATCACGACAATGTGATATCTCGCAATGTATGTCATAACCCATCATCGCCATCATCACGACGACCAACGATCGTTATTTAAAGTAAATGTTTATTGCACGACCCACTGGCATCTACCAATGTCACCTCGATCATCATGGTGATGGATGGCAGTGGGTTTTTACATAATCCTTATGGTGGTCGCGGTGATGATGAAGATAATGATGCTGATGGATGAGCAGTAAATTATACAAAAATAACGATTATGATGATGGTGGTTACAATAACCATCAAGGTACTTGTTTTACCATCATCATACAACTTGAATTTTCGTTATTTAGTAACCGTTGATGGAGTTCAATTAACGATACCACGGCCCCGGTACAGATAGTCTGACATAGGTCTATTATTGCGAGGTGACCAAAATTGATGATGATAATGTGACAAAGGTGACGAAATTCGGACGTAAATTTGCATCTTAATGTATCCGGAACCACGTCGGCTTTTCAAACTCTGGGCAAATGCGCACAGGTGGCTTAATGAACACAATGGAATGTGTATTGTCAAATAAATAAATAAATAAGTAACCACGAGTAACAATAATAATAGTGGCGGTGGCGTCATCAGAGACTACGCAGCCACCAGACAAATCCTCTTATCTTATATTTACATAGCGCCTTCATCCAAGGCGTTTTACAAGGGTTTTAGGTGGTACATTGAGGTTAGTTAAAGGTGACGCGGTGGATAGGGCTGGGGTATGGTGCGGGATGGTTGTTGGAAACGGGAGTCACGGGGGGGTACCTCGGGATGGAGGGAAAGGATGAGCCAGGGAGAAGAGATGATGGGTCTTGAGGGAGGAGCGGAAACTGGACAGGGAGGGTCAGTTTAACACGTCGGCTCGCTTCACTTGGAGGGGAAGTTTGTGCCAGTGCAAGGGGATGGCAAGTGGGGGACAAGGAGCGGAAACGGGTGGAGCAGAACAGACTGAGAGCTTACATTCAGCTTGTATGCTCGGATGCCTACGTTCACACCAAACAACAACGCTAATGAATGATTGTTTTTTTTGCCTGACATTGTTAAAGCGGCTCGGTAGTGCTGGGTCTGCTGCGGTGTCTTACGCGCTCTCGATGCAGAAAACCGACGACACGCGTTGCCAACAGCACGATACTGGAGATCGTTAAAAAATATAAAACCACGCATAATAGTCGACGTTTTCGTGAAATGACACTCCTTCCGTTCTCTCTGCTATGCAGTGCCAATAGACGACGTTTCGGCCAACGGCCCTGCTTCTCATTCTCTCGACTATTGTCACAGATGCTTTCATCTTCAGGACAGTGTTGTTTGAAGAGTGTGCGGAATATTTACAGATGTATTTGTGCTTGTGCACCGCTGCACCAGAGCATTTTTTTTTATTGTATTACTACCTACGTGATTTTACCGAAAGAACCAAAGAGTATGCTGTCGGTTTGTCTGATTTCCCCTCCCCCCCCATAAGTTCAATGACACCACCTGCAGGCGGTTTACCTGCGATTGGAAAACCAGAAGCGGGACTCGCGTGCCTCCCGTCGATGGCTCGGTGCGATCCTCCAACTGCATTTGTCCTCTAAGGCAGCGGTCCACAACCCCCGGTACCGGTCCGCGGCCTGTTAGGAACCGGACCGCACAGCAGCAGGAGGTGAGCGCGGTGAGTCCACGCGTTGCCCGCCCCCATTATTTGATTATTTACCACTTTGTCCGCGCCTCTTTCCCGCACTGCGCACTTGTCTCAGTCACAGTGTTGGTATAAAGCCCACGAGCTCTAACCCCTAGTAGCCACAATGAGTAAAAAAACAAACGTCGCTGGAGAGCTTCTTTGAAAAGGGGGGAAAGACCCAATGATGAACCCCCTCCCACGGTCCGTTAAAAAATTGTCTTCCACGAAACCAGTCCCTGGTGCCAAAAAGGTTGGGGACCGCTGCTTTATGGGCACCGCGGTGCTCATGTGAATGTCCCGCTGGTGGATGGGGTTCGGCCACAGTGCGCGATTGGAACACAGCGACTCGTTTTGTTTAAACATTTTGCAGGCCGCGTCGGTGGCCAGTGATGTCTGAAGCCGTCCAGAGAACCACGCGTTCATCCACCGGTACTTGATGGGGGAGGAGGGGGAGCTTAATTCAGCAGTGGATTGACAAAGGCAGATGGTTAATATATCGTACCAATCTGGCAGTATCCATTGTCCATGACGCACAGCGATAGAGACGACAGATATTCTCTTACAGCCCTTTGTCAAGTAAATTATCGGGGTGAAGGCCTCTCCACACCGTGTCGGTCATGGGGGTTGTTTAAACCATACCGTAGAAAATTAGAACCTGGTGTGCTGTGTAAATATCGCCACTGGGAATACAAAGGCGGCCGGGCGTGGTGCTGGCCACCCACCCCCTCGTGTGCCGTGCCGGCCTTCATAGGTGCTCGCTAACAGCACTGGCGTAAATGTTATACGGTAGATCCTTGTATTTGTCTAAAACCATATTTCACCACGCTAGTCCGTTCTGGTTGGTAGCGGGGATGGGGGATGGGGGCAGTACCCGTTCAGATATCACCCGCCACTGATGATACGCGTGGCAGGGAATTGAACTTAACTTCGTCGGATTTATAGCGCGGTGCGCCAACCACTTGCGCCACCGCTCCACCTCTGGACAGATTCACCGGAGCGATTATTCTAAATTTCATGCACCGCTGACTCCGTGCTTCTTATTCAAGGACAGGCTTAGGCCCATCTGACTCCACTCATGCGCCTATGTCTGACCGTGATAAATCGTCCACGTGCTTTAACCAGCACTACAATTATAATCATTATTGCAATCCTCAGCCTCCTGTTCTAGAACTGCCTCGCTTCACCAACAAGCAACGCGCAATGTCTCTCTCTCTCTTTCTCTCTCGTCGTGGCCCACAACTCTCAAAGTGCGCACGCACGCACGTCGTCTTCATTCTAATTGGTCGAGACCGGTGTTAGAATGGCAGTCGAACGAGGGAGAGGCAACGCCTCCAAGAGGATGACCCGCCACGGTGCTGGAATCGATTTGGATCAGTTGACGAGCGAGACGGATTAAAGTTCTCGCTGAACCGTGAGAGCTGCGCATGGGTGGCGGGGGCGGTGCCTTTTATCTAGCAGTGTAAAGCCACTGATGGTGATGATGATGTTCTTTCTACCTACGTGACTTTACCCAAAGAACCAAAGAGTATGGATTCCTGCAGTCACGAAAGCTTCAAATCAAGATCGGTGTTCGTGTTTTTGTTTGTTTGTTTGTGGTTGCACCCGATTCAAGATCCGAATGGCTCACAGGGCTATACCAAAATACACAAACTGAAAACTGGCTTCGGCATTGTTGTCGGTTGGGTATTGGCACAGCCTGTCCCTTGTAACACAGAGGCTCTGTTGGTCTCCTTCTCCTCTCTGCGCTGTGCTGGCGCGAGAGCTTTGTGCGGGAGTGCGCTGCGGTCGACGGAAGAACTGGGGAGGCCGTGCACGTGACGAGGAGAGGCACAGACGTGGCGCATTTTCACAAGAGGTTGACGACGCACACAAACAAACAAACAAAAAAGATGCCACCCCCTCCACCGCCCTCGCCGCCCCCGCCGCGGTATAACCAAAGCAGAACTTTTTGGGTCAGGTGCGAGAAGCAGCTATGAAGGCCGGGATGTCACACGACGGGGTGAGTGGCGAGCACCACGCCCGGCCGCATTTGTCTCCCTCGTGGCGATGTTTTACACACCGCGCAACAGGGAACTAATTGTGAGGCTGAGTTCGCCTTAAGGGAGGTGCCAGGAGCGGTTGGGATAGTTCGCCACTATTTATTGGTCGTGAGCGGGAATCGAACTCGGGTCGCGAGGTTTTGTCGAGCAGCGCGCTAACCGCTGCACTAACCGCTCAACCCACTTCGCACGCACGGAACACGCAGACAAAGATCCCCCCATGTAGCCTATATCGACCGTTGTTGGGGAGACCACCGATGCGAAGAAGGCCGGCACGGCGCACGAGACACTTGTGTGGACATACCGTGCCGGGTGCTGATTGAAGGACGAGTCAACCAATTGGGGGAAACCTAGAACCAGGGACTTATTTAAGGCTGAGTCGACCTAGGGGATGCCTAGAAACA